TCATCCATAAAATCAAAAAGCTGCAGAAAGAGGCTCTAAGTCTTCTCTCTATTGCTCTGGATCAGAGATATCAGGATATACTATGGCATAACCAGTCCCTGCCTATGTCACCAACCCTGTGTCCCAGAGGAACTGCCCTTTGGTTATTATTCTCTGGTGGCCTGTTCTTCCTATCTCAAGTTCTGTATCGGCTGACCCTTCTTAGAAAGTTGTAGAAAGCTCTACCCGAGGTGGCTCATCTTCATCTCCCAGGTCTCAATTTTCAACACACCTAAATTAGGCCCTCTGTACTATTCTCTGTTAATACCTGGGCCATTTCCTCTATTGCACTGAACCCCTAGAAGTTCATTTGTGCACTCATTTATTTACTCATTTCTTCTCAGAGGCCTTTCTTTCCCTCTGTTCCACGAGAATCATGTCTCACTCGTTTTTATAAGTCCCCCATTCCCAGCACAGACAGCAACAAGTAGTTATCCAACTCAGTTAAATATTTGGGAATGAATAATTTAAAAAAAAACCCTAAAACTCTCTCTCTCTCTCTCTCTTTTAGATAGTACTTATTACTTTTACTGATACTATAAGATAAAGAAAGTCATCTCATAATATTTAGAAGATGGAACCAGAGATTTTTAAAGACACTGATAATCTGGCACTGAATTCACCTAGTTTCCAAAGTGTTTCTTTATTCATTTTTGTGTTGTCTCTCCAACATAAACAAGGCATTTTCAGCAAACAGCATGAAGGACAGACAGGTTCCTACCTCCCATCCGGCAGCATTGATGAACCTGCCAGATACATTCTTCCTCCAGGATCCTACTGTCCTACAGAGAAGGCTGATGAGGCACTGAACAGAGACCATGATCTACTCTCTGGTCTCAAGGCTGAGCTCCTGTATGTTAGGTTAGCAACAGAAAAATCTGCACTGATTAAGTTGTAGGTCTTGCCACCCAACTCAATGGGTGAGGTGGAATAGGAAAAGGTCATTTTCATTGAGATATCTTTCCTGACCACACCAGACCTAAAATTATTAAGGGTAGGAAACCATTTTAGCTATTCAATTGAAAGCAAGAAAGCTATATTGGAGGGTTAGAAATTTCTCCTTTCCATTTACATTAGCCAAAAGACTATAGGAAGATGAGGATCATTTGAAATACCTTATCTTCTAATGGCAGTTCAATATCTAAGAGAAGGTATTAGCATGAGTAAGATATTTTTAATTTAATTTAATGTGAATAACTGGATATTTACAGCATTAGCTTTAACTTTGTGGGGCGAGGACTACAGGCTGCTTTTGATAATGTGAACCGTCTAGTCTTAGATGGAATTCTCCAGTGTGATGGAGAACTTACAACTTCAGGAGACTTGAAATATTTCACAATATACTTTCCCATGTGTGCTGTTATTCTTTGAGTTATATTAGCTATAAGATTAAAAAAAAGACTTGTGATGTACATCTGGACAACATGTTTGAAAAAGTCTGACATAACCAAGTACTATATTTTGATATGCCAGTGGGCTTTTGTGAATATTTGTTTTATATGGCATTTTTAGAGCTGTCTGAATGATTAAGCAAATATATAAAACGTACAAAACCATATACAAACTTTTAGATAGACACTTGCTCTTTTAACCTTTTATTTTGTATCTATCCCTTTGTTTCTATATCTATCTATCAATCAGGAGGTAAAATAGCCTTAATATAGACCTTAATTTTTGGAAAAAATAGTATTATACATCTACCCTATAGAAACGACCTTTAATACAAGTGTCAATTGACATTCTAGTTACTCATGAAAGAGCTCCTTAATTTATTTATTCAAGGGCTATTTGTTGGTCGTACCATTGTAAAAGGACACAGGGGTTGAAGGGTGGGACTAGAGCTTTTTAATGTTGTGTCCTATTAAAGGCAAGCAGCAAGCCATTCAATGAAGAAGTAAATATATTTTTATCAAATAATGATAAATGCTTTTATTGATCTCCTTGACAAGAACTGAGGTATAAATATGAAGGAGATGGCCATGGCATGCTGTAGAAATCTGAATGACATTAAACATTCAAGTCATTAAAGTTAAGTCATTAAGTTTAATAGCATCCTTAAAAATTTAATGACATCTTTACCTATGCACTGCCAATACCAAAGGCAAATTAGGTATTAGAAAACATGTAAAAATAAAAGTCACATGTGCTTGGATTAAGTTAACAAGCAGAAGATTGGAATGCAGACATTGATATTCACCAGGCACAGGACCTGGGCCAACTTCATCTTGCAAAGACCCACTGTGCTTGTTCATAAAACAAAAAGAACATTACTTTGTTTTTCAAAACTTCTGTGAGGTAAAAACAGGTGAGTGTGTCTTGGGTCTCCACTGCCCTGTTACCTGGTACATCAAAGAGATCAAATGCACCTCCATCCACGTTCTCTCTTCCACCTCTCACTCTGGAGAAAGTTGGCTGCCCTTTCAGAAGTCTTCCTTTCCTGCCATCCATTGGTCCTACCACTAACTGGCTATTGATAAAGTCAGTTTTTAGATCTCACAAAATGAAACTTAGAACAGGGAAAGGCAAAGTACTACTGTTCTTCTAGCCCAAGAACTGGCAAATGGTGGTGTAGCTAGTTACAATTATCCTAATTATCATCTTAACATGGCAAGTGGATCTCATCTTGGGTTACCTTGATTATCTCCTACTTATTAGAAATGACATATTTATCTTAACATAGTGTTCTTGTGTATTCAAGAGTCAGAGAATGTACAAAGGCTCAGAGGCAAGAAGGAAAATGAGGGTGTGATGGCTCTGGGTCAGCTGACTGTCACAGGCTCTCCTGAAACCTGACTGATTTTTAAAGTGAATCTCTTCCTCCACCTCTAATGAGAATGAAGGCATTTGCCCTGGAGGTAAGAGGGAAAATCATTATTCCAAGTCAGGACACTGATGGTCTCTCAACTACTAGAACTAGCTTGGCAGAGATCAAGAAGGATGAGAAATTGAACAGAAGGGAGAGAAAGGTTGTTGACAGAGTGTTTATATGTGAATGAAAGCTTGTATGAACATCACAGTATGCCACATTTCCAGTCAAGCCATGTACTAACTGCACAATCTGAGCAAATTGAGATACAGCCAATGGCACTCTATGACCTAGGCATATTTGCCAGAAGTGCAGGAACATCCAGGTATTGAGTGGCTCACTTCCTCATGGCCAGAATGGAATGGTCACTGGTATAGCATAGCCGGACCCATAGTAGTTTCAGCCCCAACAGGGACAATCCTGGGTCGGTTCTACTGTGACTTCACCTATGTGGGGAGGCAGAAGGTAGTATCCTACCACTGTAGATCCACACTAGCTTTAATAAAAAGTGCCCCTTTCCTATATACTGGGTATCATATTTGCAGCTTACAAATGTGAAGACGGAATTTCAGAGCAGAAAGGTAATTTAGGCTTACACAGCTGCTTGGTGGCAAAGCTGGAATCTGACTCCAAATAGATCTGACTCCAACACCTATAATGATTACAGTGGCTAATCTTGAAAGCACCCCAGAAAACTCACTGTCAGTGTACTGACTACCATTACGGAAGTACAGTTACTTGTTTTACTTCATGTTTCTACATGTTATTGGTCAAGTGAAAAGAATAAAGAAAAGCAGCAGAAAATGACACACAAAAACCAAGATTTATGATATTTAAACATTAACTAAACCAAGATTTATGATATTTAAACATTAACTTGCCTGAAAGGAGCATCATGGATAACTGAACTAGAAGAGAATCAAAACTGTAGTGAATATTATCTATAATTATAATGCATCAATGAAATTTTTTAAAAAAATATACTGCAGTGAAGAACATTATGTCATTTATTATTTCTAGTAAATATGGTTATGTTCCTACTGCTAACATTTTTTTTTTCCTGGACACTTGAGGTTTCTCAAACATGGACTCACCATGGAAAACCCATCAATTAACAATGAATGCTTTTGCCCTTTCATAGAAACAAACATTAAAACATATTTCCCTCACTTATTAAAAGCAAGATTAGTGAAAACAGCCTTTAGTCTGTACTTTTAAGGCCAAGAATCATCTGTGGTTTGCAAAAGTGAAAATTTTAGGTGAAATGAGAGCTGAAGTTCACAACCAGGATTTCTTAATTAACTAATTAGATTACCAAGTTAATTCTATCTCCATCATTTGTGAACTAGCTCAGTTCAAACACTAAATTATAAGCAGACAAAAGCAGTATAAATACACATAAAATTCCATTTTGGCTTATTCTCTATTGATATCAGTCCAAGTGCAATCATAAGTGAAGAGAAATACTTCATATTAATTGTGTTTACAATCATGTTTACTTTCCTTACTTTCATGTAAGGAAGTGTCAAAGTGCTTTCATTCTATAGAAAAGGCATGATCAAAGCTAAGCTCTTTGAAATTAAGCTGAAAATATGTAATAGAAAAAGCAGGATACATTCTGTTACCACATTCCCTGTGATAACTGACCAGTACCAACCGGGTTTTGTTTTCCAAAGTCATCTACATTTATTTTCTACTGTACTAAAAATCCACTCTTAACTTTTTATTTTTCCCTCTCAGTGGATTGCGTTCCTTTAACAATAGTAGGATAAGGTTTTTGCCACAACTGGCCTTCTTATTTTTGTTCCTGTTCTGTACACACAACCAGGTACAAAATGGGTTTTGCTCTGGAGAAGTATTATTAGTAAGGAAAGACCTAGATAAAAAGGCTTGCCATACTCCCTGTCTCATTTCATCATAAATGAACAACTACTCTTTCTATACATGGGCTACTACTGACTCATGTATGTAAAAAAATTATCTGGGGCCGGATTAATAGTCTTCGATTCACTGTCCTGATATGTGACTTGTGTCCCAGGACAGGTTTTTATTCTTCCTTTTAAAGCAATCAGTACAGAACATGCATCATGATGGGTGCACTCAAGTGATGACATTTCACTAAAAACACATATAATGGATTCAGGAAAATACATACCTGATTGCACTTGCAGATAAGTGACCATAGGAGCCACTGGCTGAAGAGCTGCTACGGGAATTATTGAGAATTGTGACCAGGGAGTTGGGAGATGTCCTTATCATGGTCTGAAGGTCAAAGCTATGATCGGACAGTGGTGATATGGACAGGGTGCGTTTTCGGCTCGGCCTGGCTGACAGCCTGGGGCTGGGGAATCTGGTGCCTGTTATATAAACAAAACAGAACCTGATTACCTGCAGTTGGACTCTATACCTGTTATTGATTGCGACTGGCCTGTGAGAGAGAAGTGAAGGATAAGAAGCCGGCAACTTGTGGTGACAAGCACCGTTCCTCCCCCTTGTGATCTACTGGCTACAATTGAGGAAATCAGGGAGAAATATTTATCTTCCAGAGGCTTACCTCGGGGGAGCTCTGTTTATTAATGTGCAGGCAAAATGATAAATCGCTAAACAAAAGGGAGAGACTTTTATGTGTTATCCCTCTCATTGCTAGTGATTTATGAATCTGACGGCTGTTTAGATATTCCCATCATTAATTCACCACAAGCGACAAAGACAGTGGTTCCCACAGTTGCAACGCACCGCCCTCCCCACCCCTGCACACGCCATTTTAAGGCAATGAGCCGAAGGAAAATATGAGCTAGAGCATCCTAAAATAAAACTTCAGCTTCGCTATGCCCTTCTTTCCCCCATGATTTCTGGAGTTATCTGCTCCCTGGAATGCTTAAAGCATTACTAAAACAACTTATATTACCCTAAATCAGTGGTTCTCGATTGGGGGTTATTTCGTACCCCAGGAGAACTGTGACAACATCTGGAGACATTATAGGCCTCACAACTCAGGGAGTGCTACTGGCATCTAGTGGGGAGAGGCTAGGGGTGCTGCTGAAATGTACAGGGCAGCCCCACACTAAAGACTATCTGGCTCAACAGTAGCAAGCTTGAGGACAGCTGCCCTAAATTCCCCAAACTCGAAAAACATAGATCCCAAGAAACATTAAAAGTCTTGGGATGTTATTTGTGTATAGGTTTTCCAAGAGGGCAGGCAAAAATCTCTGTGAGAGTGATAATGAGATTCCACGTGCATGTTAATTTTTCTCTGGAGCTTGCTTCTCCAATCAGAACCAACAGAGGATAATGCATTTATTAGAATTTTTAGCCTTCAAGAAGATTCCACCATGCAGTCCTGATCTGGAGATCAGCAACTCATCTTAAGATTCCAACTTAATACAATTGGGTTTACCTGAGGAATTAAAAATTAAATTCCCATTTGCATTCATATTTGGTAAATATGAAGATCTGAATCTCTTAGGGAAGAATGTGGCCCACAGGTTCCACTCCCACCTTTGAGAAGGTCACATTTATGACAGAGTTATCGAACCTAAAATTTAACAAAAGAATAGAAACATAATACCCCAGGAAAGAGGCAAATCAAACGTGAATAGCTTAAAACACCAACCAGGGTTTCTACTATATTATAGCATGGGTATACCTGCTTACAGGAAGAAGGCAATTTTGAAGTACCCAGAAAACTGAAGTACTAGGTAAACCTTCTCTACAGAAAAAGGTGTAGGCGCTTGATCCCCGGATAATTCACTAGGAATACTTTCTTCACCCAGAGATGGGTCTTGACACAAGTAATGATCAAGTGAGCTTTGTGATAATTTAACGAAAAGGGTTAGATGAATATGAAAGCCTGCATAGTTAATACTGTAATCACAAACTGGAATTTAGTTAGTACTATCCTTGTATACAACTGGAAAACCAATTTGACAAATGTGGTGCCTACTCAAATTTTTCTTTTGGGCATATTTAAAATGAGTTTGCTCATTTAGAACAGTTTCATTCCCAGTCTGATTTAGGGCCATGTTGGTACAGAACTGTAATCCAAACTATGCACACCTTTTACTATTTAAATCAGCATTTTACTTTTACTATAATATTTGCCTTAAACATACCTATTTCACATTCTGATTTAATCATGGAAGGTTTTAAAGAAGATAGGCATACCACTTCCTAACATTCCAAGGATAGAGCAGACTTACTGTTGATTTCCATGTAATGCTGGATAATAACCTTTCTCAATGGGACTCAGAGTTAGAAGCAGCAACACACGCTTGACAGCGCTTGTCCCTGGAACACCTCTAGCTTGTTAACTCACTAACTCTTGCAGTGATGCAAGAGATCGATAAGGGGGTCATTGGACATAATAAAACACCAGAGGCTTCACATCCCCCACACATCATGCAAAGATAGAGCCTGGGGCCTTGCATGACCTTTTCACCCACCATGAAACCCTTAGGGTCACACATGGCCTGCTTGGGATATCTCTGTTTTTCCCCTCCATCAGTGGTTCTCAGTTACGAGGGTCTGTGTCAATATAAACAGTGTGGATCTCAGGGGCCCTCACCTCTAGATGTTCTTTATAGAGATTACAAGTTTTCGTATCCTCTAAGGTGCCTCTAATCCCAAAAGGAATAATTAGAGCCATACACAGATCTGTTTATTCTAACATGCTACATATAAATACTCTAACTTCACCTTGCTGAAACCCAAACGTGCCTACCATTGGCACATCTACAAATCAGGAGTGTTCATCTGAAACCAGTTTATTGTGGTATCTGCCAATGAACTAGTCCTGAAGATCCATAACAATGGATCAGCCTGATCAGGTGGATCCCAATTTGTATCTACCACTGTAGGTGGCAATGTAGGAATTTAAGATTAATGTTTCAATTCTCCGTTGGACAAATCTCCTATGACAGAAATTCCCATGCGCTCATCACTGTAAATTCTGTCTAACCAAATGCTATTTAACAGGGAAGGAATTTAGTACTTTCCTACAGACTTTTTAATATGTCCTTCCCAAGTAACTGAGTGAAGGAAAAGAAGTGAGTGCTGTATATGGGGACAGTGGTTTGGGGGTTCCACCAAAGGGAGTTGCTAGAACACAAGGTAAGCATTTTCAAGGCAGCTGAAAGGGAAGCAGTCCTTCACCAATCAGGCGGCTGCCTTCTGAAACAGAAGCCAGAGTATTCTTATTGTTCCAACAAGAAGAGTTCCAATCTGGCTTCCTGTTAATTGTTTTGTTTCTCTATGGTAATAAAAAATTCTGACAAAGAAAAAGGAGGTATCTTTTTTATGTGATGAATGATAGGACATCTATATTCCTACTTAATGACGATCAATTTACCATATACTCCAGCAAATTAAAATTCCTTTAATTAGTTTTTACAAAGTAAAAGGGTAGCTTCATCCTTTATTTAGATAAAAACCGCCACTGCCTGACTAAATACATTCTCATCAAATACGGAAAGTAATGTGGGCTGACCTTCCAAGGAGTCTCTCTTATTTTAATTCTTTATTTGCCGATTTTAAATAACTGATTTGCATAATAACGCTGAACTTTTTCCCCCAACAATCGCTAATTGAAATGTGGTTATGATGAATCTGAAATGCAAGCTCTCTACAGAGCCAAACAACAAAACCCCTGCACAAGATGTAACATATTTCTTTTACTTCTTTGTGTTTGGGGGGGAGTGGGGGGGGGAGCTGCTGGATGGAAACCAATACAGGGTGCTTTCAAAGGCTGCACTGAGGTACTTCTGGGTGGTACTGAAACTAAGGCTGTGGATTCACATCCCTGTGTGAACCAATCACCTTCTCTTTTCCAAACCTGATAAATGAATTGCCAAAGAGATGACAAATGCACACCTTCTCACACAGAAGAACCTAAACAGACTCTAGACAGAAATGCATAAATTGACTGCTGTTGTTAAGAAAAACAAAACTCCCAACAAATGCCCTATTCAAAGTCCCACTGTCATATCCAATGGGGGGACTGAGTTGAGGTATGAGGTGGGTGAGGCTTTAGGTTCACCATTCGGGATCTTGGAAAGAATACGTGATAGGATAAATGAAAGTCCTGGGATGTATTGAAAAGCCATGATCAGGGACTCACTTGTGATCATCATACACCTTAGGGATCCCAAAATACATGATGCACACACCTCATGAGCCCATTTTCTTCCACTGCTTTGTAATAGAAGTAGACTCTTCTGATTTTTTTTCCCTAAATGTATTTTTATTTTTTTCTTACATGTAACTATTTTGACCCTTTCACTTACTCAGCAGCTACAAAATGTCTTAATGAAATGTAAGTTTTAATGTTCAGAAGATAGGGCAAAACAATCATTTAATGTAAAAAATGCAAAACCAATTTTAGGTTTTTTTTTTTTTTTCACTTAATTTTTAAAGCATTAAACCATGAAGTTAAGAACAACTGAGCAAATGCCCCTTTGTTTTGTCATCAAAAGAATCAGGGCAGGATAATTTACCAATTGTTTTTATTTATATACAACTTCCAAACTACAGTTGCCTTCGCCTTCCTGTTCACTGGTGTCCCTGAGCCAAATGATCCAGCTGATCACATCTAAGGAATCTTTCTAAGAAACCAAGGGACCAGAGCTCTGAGTATCAGTGGTTCTTCTACCCTTCTCAGAATTGAAAAGTTAGACAGTAACCTAATTTTTGTACCTTCCTTTCCATTTCATAAGTTAGTATTTCTCACCCCCACCCCCACCCCCACCCCACCAGGGCTTTAGAAAATAGCCCTGTCACTTACTATCCATGGCATGAAGATATTCCATGTGGATGGCCCCTGCACCAGCAGTGGCAGCAGAGGGGAGGATGTCAGCATAGGGGCTGCGCTGGCCGGCCAGCAGGGCCATCTGGTGATAGTACTCCGCAGGGCTGACTCCAGCATGGGGGGCTAGAGGAGGAGACAGAGAGGCACAGTGACAGTTGGAAGAACTAGACACTTTTCTTGAGGCATCTCAGGTCTACCTGTCATGCACCCCTTGAATGCAATTTCTTTCATGGCTCATTATTCCTTTAACTCAAAATATATTAAGTATCTTTTATTTGAAAGTAAAACTGAAGGAACTAAAAGAACAAAATATGTTATAAAGTTTTCATTGTTCAGCTGAAAAAAAATCAACAAGAATTCAAAATGATTAAAATGCATCCCTTAAGATGGGGATATATTCTGAGAAATATATCATTAGGGTATTTTGTTGTTGTGGGAACATCATAGAAGGTATCTAAGCAAACTAAGACAGTAATGCTATCACGAAGTGCTATAATGGGACCTTCACTGTACATGGATCTTTCATTATGTATCCATCTGTTATTGACCAAAACATTATTATGTGGCACATGGCTTTGTGTACAGAACCATGATTGACCTCCAAAATAAAACAGTTTCTTATACCAAATCACAGCATGTTCACATTTCTTACAATAGTAGACAACTCAGACAACTGTGATATCTTTCCAGACATACTTAAAATACTTCCCTAAGCTCTTGACAGGAGTGTCTGAGTTAATGTTCACGAACACGAGGAGTCAGGGTTTACCAGAAGAAAAAAAAAAAAAAAAAAGAAAGGGAGCACAGTTTTAATGACACACAACTGAATGATAAGCTGCAATTTCATGTTCCATAATTTAAAAGCTCTCTTTTCCCTTTTTTTTTCATTACAAAATCAAAAAGAAAATATACCTATCAATCTAGAGCAATTTACTGGCAAGAGTCAGCTTTATATGAGTGGGATAATAACTGGTTTCCACCTGCCAATTTATGTGCAAAAGCAGCAAGATATTGTAGCAGTTCTGAGGGTGGCCTCCAGATTCACAGAGATCTGGATTCAAACCAGCTAGAGGAGGTTGTTGAGAGCAAAAAAGTAAAAGCATGCATGTAAAGTGCTTAGCACATAGCATCTGATCAATAAAAGTTAGTGCTACAATGATTATCTACCAACACCAGCATTCTGGCAAGAGGTCTGTGGATTTTTTTTTATTTGTGTCCATATAGTTTTTACATGGGACGTGGTAAAGACAGAAATATTTTTTAAAAATGAAAACAGACCACAGGAGGGAAATAGTAGAGGCATTATTTGATTGGGTGTTAACTGGAGACCTGAGAAGCAGGAAAAAGAAGACATGTCAACCAATGGAAGGATGATTTATCCATTCTCATCATTCTCATCATGGAAAGCAGATGATAAGCATGCTTTTCAGCAAAGTGACTAGAAGTACAACTTACCCCTGACCAGATTAAATTTCCACAAGCCAGGCATAATTCCAAGTCCACTTTGAGCTGCCTCCTGCCCGCCCTCTGTGTGCTCTGCTTGCTGATCATTTCCACAACTCCCAAGCACTCCGCAGAGAGGATGCTCCATTTCTCTCATTGCAAAATCATATCCAAAGCAGAAAAGCTAACTCATATTTGACTGTCTCTCGGTTTTATTTTATTTTTAAAATGCGACTCTGGTTTGAATGGCAAAACTCACTCCTTGAGTAGAGTACCTTACAAGTATGTTCATTGCATTGAATCAGGAGAAAACAAAACAAATGAGCTAGTGGTTACTGTTGGAAGACAGCTATTCCTGGGAACACAGTGGACTGGATGCTTCCTAAGAAATGTTGTGTAGCTTCCCACTGTGCACAATCAACCTAGGAAGCAGTTGGCTTGGAGAACATGGAAGAGGGTGCATAGAAGGCACATTAAATATTCTTCAGGGAAATGAAGGGCATGATGTTTCTCTTTGCTTTCAAAACAATCACAAGTGACCTGTAATCTGTTGCATAGAACTCATAACCTCCTATCTGCAATTAATAAAACTCAAGGGACTCTGGATCTTAATTCAGATTTCAGTAATTATGGGCAAACAGATTTGTACATGTGTGCAAAAGACTGGGAATACTTTTCCTAAATATAAGGAATGGGTCATAACTTTATAGTCGGGGTAATACACAGCTCAAATTAAAAGTGATGTGAAGAATAATTAATTGGGAGGCTAATAGAATCAACAGGAATATATGAAGTGTTATAAAAATAATGTCTAAATTTATTTCTTTTCCAACTCTTCTGATTACAGTTTTTATTTTGTATGGTCAAGAATAAAAAGTACATGCAACAGGTTTGAGCCATCACATATTCTGAGATCTTGCTACTCAGAGTGTGGTCCATGGACCAACAGTTTTGACATCACTTGGAAGGTTTTTAGAAATGCAGAATCTCAGGTCCCACCTGATGTAGAGTCAATTCTGTCAGGATCCCTAGATGATTGTTACATACATTAAAATTTGTGAATTACTGCTCTAATTTGTACATCTGTACAAATGTGTCTCTGAGATACAGAAAAGAGAAGGGTTCATGAGAAGGTAAGGAAAACGCTCAGGTTACCCATACACATGTGGAAATGGCTGCAGAGACAGTCTAATCATATATGGAGAGCAGAAGAGGATAGTAGTTAGGAGCAAGGATTGGGGAGTCAGCAAAATGTGACTTTGAGTTCCACCTCTGCCATTTACTAGCCATGGATAAGCAGGTTCTAAGTTAGTATATCCCTCTGCACCCTGCTATCCTTACCTGAAAATGGAGATAACACTATCCACATAGAAGTGTTATGAGGTTAAAATAAAATCATGCCCTTGAAGCATTTGGTACTGCGTCTGACACATGGGAAACACTCACTAAATATCACATCTACTTTATATAATGTCCCAGGTGAGGTGCAGGGGGAAGGCAATCTAGGGAAGCAGAATTGGCCTAAGACTTACCATCTGTAGGGCTCAGCCCCCGGGCTGCTGAGATCATGGACAGGGATGGGCTGCTGTGCAGGGATCGGATGTAGTCCATGTAAGGATTAATATAGGGGTGTGGAGGGCTGAAGGGAGACTCAGAAGCTGCAGCAGGGTTCCGATGCGGGGAGATCCTAATGAAGGGCAGGTCTGAATACGTCGGGCTACTAGATAAGGCAGAAGGCCTGTGTATGGAGAAAATCAAACACAAGAGGTAAGCATGAGACAAGCATCAGCATAGGCAGAGGCTGTCTGTGAAATAAAATAAATAAGATTTTAAATGACCTTAAGGTGTCTTTGAGAAAAAGTGACAGGCACATATATTTCCAGTACTCTTACCTTAAAATCGGGACAGTACACTGAAGGTAGAATGCCATCAGGCAATTATTTGGGCAAAGAAAAGTGACCACTGAAAAATTTCATCACACTCTGAATATAAGAAAATAAAGGTCAGCCTTTGGCTTCCCCCATGAGAAGAAATTCTAAAAAACAGGCAAATGAGCTTAAAGTGGTTGCTACAGTTAATTTTTAATTTGATTCAAACATTAGCAGCACCATTTAAAACTTATTTCTTACCATTAGGGGTTGCATAGAGAGAGAGAAAGAGTGTGAGAGAGAAACCCCAAATTCATCTGGTCGAAAGTCTAGGCACACCCATGGCAGGGCTACCCATAAATGAGAGGGGAGACTAAAGTCTACAAGAAATGTGAAATTGGCCATTCCATATATACATGCACACACTTGACTGCCAAAGTACTCATGGGGTGAGTAAAACCAGTTTTATGGATTTGGGATTCACTGCTTTGAAGGCAGTTTCTTTTCTCTGTGAGAATCAGCTTTCTGCTTATGTCCATTTTCTTTCTTTCTTTTTTTTTTTTTTTTTTTTTCATATCAGGGATTGAACCCAGAGGTGCTTAAACACTGAGCCACATGCCCAGTCCTTTTGTATTTTATTTAGAAACAGGGTCTCACTGAGTTGTTTAGGGCCTCACTTAAGTTTCTGAGGCTGTCTTTGAACTTGCGATCCTCCCGCCTCAGCCTCCAGATATGCTGGGATTACAGGCATGTGGCACTGCACCAAGCTTAGGTCCATTTTTCACATGACCTTCTAATTGGCTGTGTTTAGCAAACAATCAGAAACTAAGTACTTCTAGGATTAGAAAGTTGGCCAAGAATGGGATTTTGATCGAGCTCATGCCTTGGTTATAATGAGCTAAGGCAGAATGCAAGCTCTGAACAAATTCAAGTAAGTCATGAAATACCCCTTGCTGCCACCATCCTGGTCTGCTCTTGGAGACTTCTCTGCCTGGTCCCTGAACTCTTTCATACTCACCAACCCCAGCCACCCCTGAAGTCCCTGGGGACACCATGACTAGAATGGCCAGTCTGCATAGCCCTCACACTGCCTTGTTCCTTCCCTAGTGGAAAAGATTTTGTGTGGAGAATCCAGTGAATTGGCTGAAAAGTTAAACATGGTGCTCTTCATTTTCCCCTTTCACAGAGGGCATGGCCATAAGAGAGAGAGGCCCTGATAGATCCAAATCAAATGAGAACAGCAAATTCCTCTTATTCCACTGGCTTGAGGAGTTAAATGAAAGAGAGGGAGAAGAACATTTGTCCTCGAGAAGCAAAGGCACTGCTGACTGGATCTCACCCTCACCACTCTGTCAGAACAGAGCCTTGGTGAACCAACATGGGCCTCACCAAGTGCACACCACAGGTGCTGAAATGAGCGCGCTGAAGTTCAAGTGGTGAATTCTCTCTCAGTAGAAAATAAAACGAAGCTCAAGTATGGTTGGGGGTGATTTCTTCTTTTTTTAACTAAGAAAAAAAAAATAAAGCTTTTTATTTGTTACTCAGATTCTACTTCCGGTGAAGTAAAACAAAAATTCCAGAGTTTACTAGATTTATAAGTCACTACCATAAACTAGCTATTTCTTTACAAAACAATGCAAGGTTTTCATATCCACTCAGAAATTAGTCGAATTGGGTATGTTTAAATTGATTAACTAGGATGATGTGTGTACATGTACTGATACAACATATAGTAACCCATAAATGTATCACCCCGTAAGTATGCACAATAACATATGTGTCAATTAAAAAAATAAAAATAAAACAGCCCACCTGAGAAAATCATAAGATAAATAGAAACTGGCATGACCAATTGGAGCTCCCGCCTTGGTTATAATTTTGTAGCTTTGTTACTACAAGTTAGCTTTGTGTCACTGTGAAACCTGGCCTCCATTTAGACATGTCTATCACTGGTTAAATCCTAAGTTCCATTCAGACATGTTTGTTACATTACAGGGTAAGGGAGATGCTCAAATTCATATATTCTTTCCTTCTTTCTTTCTTTTTAGTGATTGAACCAAGGACAGTCTACAACTGAGCTGCATTCCCAATCTTTTTTTTTTTTTAATTTTTTGTTTTTGAAACAGGTCCCATAAAGTTGCTGAGGGTCTCATTAAATTGTTGCGGATGGCCTTGAATTTGCCATCCCCTGCCTCAATCTCCCAAGTCGATGGGATCACAGGCATGAACCACGCCCAACATTTGTTTTCAACCAGAAAGGACAATAAATTCTTCCAATATGGATCAAAAAAATAATTTTTGCAAAACACAAGCTTATTTGTAAGTTTATGCTGAGACACCAGCACAGAGGACACTGAAGAGCGGTGGCTTCAAAAAGCCCCTGGGATTTCACCTCCTGACAGGCTTTTTTGAACATAACAAATTCTGTCTGAACCATATGAGCTAAAAGCCAAGGGAAGTCACCACATTTCTTACCGGGATTCTTTGATTTAGACAAAGATGAGAACCTACTATTTTTCTAAAATTCCAGAGTAGAAAAGAGTAGTAAGAATACCTCCAGAGGTCCAAATTCTGTTTTGGAGAATGATGCACAGGAAGACAAATCAGCATCCAGAAAAATATGAAAATTATAGAGATCAGGCAGGAGTGGTCACCAATCCCAAAGAAAGCCAAGGATGCTCAGAGATGGCTGGCACTCTCCTCTCCTTGTGAAAGTCTGGAAATCTGACATCTGCTCTACTGTGTCACTCTCATTTGTTCTTTCCCACAGTCTAAAGGTAAATGCTCTGCAAGCTTCCTGTGAGTCAGGATCTAAGACCGGGCCATGGGTTCCCTGGCAGAAGCATTGGGTTCTGCTGGCCACACACACACAAGAAAGAAGCAACACCAGGAAGGAGTGTTCCTCCAGGATTTGGAGATGAAGTTGGGGTTCTTCACTCTATTGCATTCAAATGTGTCCTTTCCAGAGTGATACAGCAGAGGAGATAGGATCCCCGTTAGGTGGATGAAACATGCATTTAGATAAGAGTGCAAAATAAGCAAGCTGATATCCCTCAAGAAACAAACCATCTAGTAATTAACTCCTGTGAATGGAAAGTGATCAGGAGTTACAGGAATAGAAGAGTCTTTAATAAAGGTTACTCATTTGGAGGTCATCAGGAACTCTGGACACAGGTGTTAGACCTCAGCACAGTGGGAAGCAGTAAGGGTGGGAGCCCAGCTCTGCTCCCAGCAGCTGTGTGACCTTGGCTATGATCCCCACCCTCTCATTTTTGTACTCAACTGTTCATCAGGGAGGATACCTACTTTGAAAGGGTCTTGAGAAGTTAATATAAGTATCCCCATATACTAAGTCCAGTACATAATGAATATTCACTACATACACACGTCTTTATACATATAAAATCACAGGTAATACATAAATATATCATCATGTACATATATATTAGGGGTGCAAATACAGCATTCTGTATTATTTCAAATAATGAAATGCTAGGACCTTCTTTCTGTTGTTTTTTTTTCTTTTTTTTTTACGATTGTTTTTAGATTTACAGCAAAACTGAGCTACAGTAAAGAGATATCCTGCATCCCCACTGCCCCCCACACATACACAGCTTCTTGCCATTATCAACATTCCCCACCAGAGCAGTACATTGTTTTACAACCGATGATCCTACATTGATATGTCATTATAATGTGAACATCCATAATTCACATGTCTAATGATATGTACCCAGCATTAGAGTATTAAAGAGTAGTTTTACTGTCCCTAAAGTCCTCTATGTTTCACCAATTCTTTCTTCCTTCCCCCACCTTTCAACCCCTAGAAACCACTGGTCTTTTTACTCTCTTCCTAATTTTGCCTTTTGCAGAATGCCACATAGCTGGAATCATACAATAGGTAGCCTTTTTCATACTGGCCCCTCTCACTTAGTAATAGACATCTGTTTCCACTCTGTCATTTCATGGCCTAAAAGCTCATTTCTTTCTAGGGCAGAGTAATATTCCATTGTCTGGATGTAGCCCAGTTTATGTATCCATTCTCCTACTGAAGGAAAGCTTGGGAGATTCCTGAGCACGTTCCTTGCAAAGCGAATCTGGATGCTTGAGTCTGCATTTTCCCCTTCTGAGAGCATGTTGGAAGTGTGTCCTTGGGTTTCCCAAGGTTATCTGGCAATAGTCATAAAGTCACATGATGTGGTTCAGAACATAAACTAGGTAATGCAAGAGTTTTGAAAAGGAACTAGACTTGACCTCAAGTTCTGTCACTCACTTTCACTCAGGGATCAGTTTGTTTACACACAAAACAATAACAAGAAGATGCTAAGAGGATTGGAGTCCATGCATGTAAAGATGGGAACTTGGTGCCTGCTGTGTAAGGCATTTGGTAAATGACTTTGTAAAACCAGCCAAACTTCTTTTCTTCTGATTCTAGACTCAGCAAAAAAGTTCAAATGGCAGTTTGGCTTCCTAGGAGAGCAGCAGCTGGTATTCCACTTCCCTTGCTTGTTTGATTTCTCACCAAAAGTTGGTAATATTAATTATGTTTCCACATCAGGCTCTTGTGAGTCGGGCTAGCATGATGTTTCTCTAGGGCTGACAAAAATGAGTTTCTAAGCCAACAACTCTGAGCATTCAACCTTGAACTACAATGGCTCTAGCAGCCGCCTGACATGGATGTAACTGTATATAAATTAGAGTCTTTCAATAAAGCTGCTTTTTACATTACCTAACAGATCCACTTTCAAATTCTTGGCAGCAAGATCATTTGTCAGTTATTATGTTTTTACCTGTAAAGAAAATCTGAGAGGGAAGGTTAAGCTTCTTAAATTGAACAGGTCAGATGTATGTTCACTACTGTGTACAAGAG